GCGGGAATTGAACCCATTACCTTCCGCTTGCCGGGCGACTGCTCTTCCAACTGAGCTACTTAGACACTGGATGAACCCGTCGAAATTTTCAAGTGTAATAGTTGTTCACAATCGCTGTTCGGCCAGCGTTAGGCAGTTCGATTTTTTCAAGTTATTTATAATTTTCAAATTAGTTTGAGATGCGACTCTTAACGCTAAAAATTAAATAACTATTGTGAGGTATGTTGACCACTTGTTCTTTTTGAACCCACAGCTTCCCCCTCCAACAAGCGCGGCAGGCGTACCGTTCCATGGACGTGGAGCTTCGGCGCTGCCTGCTGTCCGCTCTCGAGGCCGCCGCGCCCAAGCACNACCTGGCGTACGCGCTGCTGGGGCTCATCGAGCACGTGAGTGTCTCCGCCCAGCGAGCGCCGCCCCAGCACGAGCTGCCGCCGCCCACGCGCGCCGCCTTCGTGCTGCAGCGGCCGCACGCGCCGCCCAGGCCGGCCCACGACCTGGCGTACGCGCTGCTGGGGCTCATCGAGCACGTGAGTGTCTCCGCCCAGCGAGCGCCGCCCCAGCACGAGCTGCCGCCGCCCACGCGCGCCGCCTTCGTGCTGCAGCGGCCGCACGCGCCGCCCAGGCCGGCCCACGACCTGGCGTACGCGCTGCTGGGGCTCATCGAGCACGTGAGTGTCTCCGCCCAGCGAGCGCCGCCCCAGCACGAGCTGCCGCCGCCCACGCGCGCCGCCTTCGTGCTGCAGCGGCCGCACGCGCCGCCCAGGCCGGCCCACGACCTGGCGTACGCGCTGCTGGGGCTCATCGAGCACGTGAGTGTCTCCGCCCAGCGAGCGCCGCCCCAGCACGAGCTGCCGCCGCCCACGCGCGCCGCCTTCGTGCTGCAGCGGCCGCACGCGCCGCCCAGGCCGGCCCACGACCTGGCGTACGCGCTGCTGGGGCTCATCGAGCACGTGAGTGTCTCCGCCCAGCGAGCGCCGCCCCAGCACGAGCTGCCGCCGCCCACGCGCGCCGCCTTCGTGCTGCAGCGGCCGCACGCGCCGCCCAGGCCGGCCCACGACCTGGCGTACGCGCTGCTGGGGCTCATCGAGCACGTGAGTGTCTCCGCCCAGCGAGCGCCGCCCCAGCACGAGCTGCCGCCGCCCACGCGCGCCGCCTTCGTGCTGCAGCGGCCGCACGCGCCGCCCAGGCCGGCCCACGACCTGGCGTACGCGCTGCTGGGGCTCATCGAGCACGTGAGTGTCTCCGCCCAGCGAGCGCCGCCCCAGCACGAGCTGCCGCCGCCCACGCGCGCCGCCTTCGTGCTGCAGCGGCCGCACGCGCCGCCCAGGCCGGCCCACGACCTGGCGTACGCGCTGCTGGGGCTCATCGAGCACGTGAGTGTCTCCGCCCAGCGAGCGCCGCCCCAGCACGAGCTGCCGCCGCCCACGCGCGCCGCCTTCGTGCTGCAGCGGCCGCACGCGCCGCCCAGGCCGGCCCACGACCTGGCGTACGCGCTGCTGGGGCTCATCGAGCACGTGAGTGTCTCCGCCCAGCGAGCGCCGCCCCAGCACGAGCTGCCGCCGCCCACGCGCGCCGCCTTCGTGCTGCAGCGGCCGCACGCGCCGCCCAGGCCGGCCCACGACCTGGCGTACGCGCTGCTGGGGCTCATCGAGCACGTGAGTGTCTCCGCCCAGCGAGCGCCGCCCCAGCACGAGCTGCCGCCGCCCACGCGCGCCGCCTTCGTGCTGCAGCGGCCGCACGCGCCGCCCAGGCCGGCCCACGACCTGGCGTACGCGCTGCTGGGGCTCATCGAGCACGTGAGTGTCTCCGCCCAGCGAGCGCCGCCCCAGCACGAGCTGCCGCCGCCCACGCGCGCCGCCTTCGTGCTGCAGCGGCCGCACGCGCCGCCCAGGCCGGCCCACGACCTGGCGTACGCGCTGCTGGGGCTCATCGAGCACGTGAGTGTCTCCGCCCAGCGAGCGCCGCCCCAGCACGAGCTGCCGCCGCCCACGCGCGCCGCCTTCGTGCTGCAGCGGCCGCACGCGCCGCCCAGGCCGGCCCACGACCTGGCGTACGCGCTGCTGGGGCTCATCGAGCACGTGAGTGTCTCCGCCCAGCGAGCGCCGCCCCAGCACGAGCTGCCGCCGCCCACGCGCGCCGCCTTCGTGCTGCAGCGGCCGCACGCGCCGCCCAGGCCGGCCCACGACCTGGCGTACGCGCTGCTGGGGCTCATCGAGCACGTGAGTGTCTCCGCCCAGCGAGCGCCGCCCCAGCACGAGCTGCCGCCGCCCACGCGCGCCGCCTTCGTGCTGCAGCGGCCGCACGCGCCGCCCAGGCCGGCCCACGACCTGGCGTACGCGCTGCTGGGGCTCATCGAGCACGTGAGTGTCTCCGCCCAGCGAGCGCCGCCCCAGCACGAGCTGCCGCCGCCCACGCGCGCCGCCTTCGTGCTGCAGCGGCCGCACGCGCCGCCCAGGCCGGCCCACGACCTGGCGTACGCGCTGCTGGGGCTCATCGAGCACGTGAGTGTCTCCGCCCAGCGAGCGCCGCCCCAGCACGAGCTGCCGCCGCCCACGCGCGCCGCCTTCGTGCTGCAGCGGCCGCACGCGCCGCCCAGGCCGGCCCACGACCTGGCGTACGCGCTGCTGGGGCTCATCGAGCACGTGAGTGTCTCCGCCCAGCGAGCGCCGCCCCAGCACGAGCTGCCGCCGCCCACGCGCGCCGCCTTCGTATAGTGTCAAACTATACTCCAATAATTCATCTCCTTTCTCCTCTTGCATCTCCGTCAGCAGGGGTATGCCGTGACAACAAAAAGCCCCCGCTGAAAATCAGTTTCAATACAAGCCCTGGCGGTCTTGATGTACGCTGAGCGGATGCCTTTTTGTCAGAGGGGCACAAGCAGTTAATTGTCCACTTGTTTATTTCTCTCTGTTTTAATCTATGTCTTGCCTGCTTGTATACCTTTCTTGCAAATAAAAAGTTTTCTATTCTATTCTATTCTATAAACTGTCTATTACCACCTGGATTACATGGAAACCCCTCCACTTTGGTATAGGAAGGCACGTTTTTGCAAAAGTGGTTCTTTCGGTGCTCCTGAATGATTTCTGTCGGTATACATACATACATCAACACCGCTGCCATTCTTGCCATTTTTTGTATCTTTTGAATGTTTAAAGCTGAGTTGCACCACCTAACTTTGACCGTAAATATAACGATAACCGGTGTATAGTTCCAAAATACTGAACTGTCCTATCCATGACATTGACAGTGGGGCGCTACCGTCAATACCGGATCGCTGGTTCCGATTTTTGCCATGTTATTATAACCATATAGTTGAACGATGGTAGCGCCCCCCTGTCATTGAGTTTCGTGGGGCAGTTCAGCGTGGATCTTCTATATTTTTATTTGACAGATTTTTGACGTTTGTCAAAGTTAAAGTAAGATGGTGCAACCCAGCCTAAGTTTGAACGGAAC